CTTCTGACAAGCCCTGCCCGGAAGTCCTAAATCGCGCAAGGGGTTGGACGTCTTAGGACCTGCTCCCATTGCTTTCGAGCATCTTCCTCCTTTCTCACGCCCAGCTCAGTCAGGGCCCGGGCCTGTCATGCAGAAAGAAACAAAGTCGCGCCGCGTGTGGGAGGCACAGGGCTAATCTCAAGCCGCGAACTGCACTCAAGCTCGAGGGTAGCCTCTTTTTTTTAAACTTCATCTTGCAAGCAGCCATTTCAAAGGCATTTTCCCTTTGCTATCGATCGCTGTGACCAAACATTGAGACATTCGCCGAGTTACGTCTCGAACGTAGCATTCTCGGGAAGTAGCTTTGGCCTCTGTTTGGTCCACGCAATCCTTGCATAGTCCTCAAATCCGAATGTGCCGTTCTTGGGCGCCCTTCCAATGCACGCAGCGAAGAGGGACGACATAGCACCACCCAGCGAGTGGCCAAACACGGAAACCCGTTTGCAGTATGGAAGACGTGGGCGGATGTTCTGCTGCCATGATGGGACTTGTGTCATCCGGTAAAGTTCGGCCCAAAAGCCTGAATGCACGAAAGAATCACCGTCGCGCTGCACACGGCAGTCCCCTCTGCATGTGGGTAGCGGCCACGGACAGCATCGATCGTCTGGCAGGGTTAGACCACAGAATGCTCGAGTGACACCCCTTGCATTTTGCGACCAGTCCACAGTATCATAGGTGCCTTGAAAAGTGACAAGGCACTCCAAGGATTGCGGATGCTGGACGAGGTAGGAAACCTGCTCACCGAATTGCCACCAATTGGGCCACAAGGGCGAGTCCACGATCAGTCTGGAGTCTCCGGGTTGATACCTCGCTGCACCGACCACACGAAAGCCTCCTTGACGCGCAAGCTCAGCGCCTTTCTCTGCATCGCGGGTGTACGACAGATCCAGTGCCCAATTGCCTCCGTATTCATGCGCACAGAAAGTCAACATTGAATCGAATTCGATTCGATGCAAATGTTCAGTGGAAAAGAACTTCGGTTACTCAGAAGCCGAGCGACTCAATTGTTTCACGAATGTGTTGGAACTTCCTGCAGCCGCTTGGTCAAAGTACGTCCCACTGTGGAGAGACCAGTCTGCTCGAACAAACCAGGTCGAATTGGGCCAAAGCTGAACATTGCTCAGCGTGCAGGGATAGTAGCGGTCTTTGGATGGGTCGTCGACATCCAAAAGGTAGAGATCCATGCGAGGGTGCCATAGGCTGACCCTGGAAGCTACCCATGCTATGGGATCTGTTTGCTCCGATCCGCCTTGTGTCCGCAGGGTGACAACCCGTGCTCCGGGAAAACAGCCTCCGTCGGCAGATGTCAAAACGAAACCCGGCGAAGCTGACCCCGGGGCTCCGAAGGTATAAAGTCCATCCACAGTGCCTGGCTCACCTGCTGTGGGTAATCTCAGTTTCCAAGGCTAAACCGAACCACTTTAGCCCTAAACCCTCGATTCATCGGGCGAGCCCTACCTAGCCTCTGCTGCGTGAAAAGAACCACGAGGAGCCAAGGTCGAGCTTCTCGTCGCCTGAAGCCTTGGTCTGGGACTGCAAGAGGCCAGCATCCTCGCATTGCTCCTCTGCACTCGTCTTCACCTCTGTGCTTGCTGCAGATCATAGACACAAGTAAGATCTGATGCATGGGTTACTGAAATCGCATCCACACATCAAGGGAGCGCCGGGGCTCTCGGTGAGGATGCAACCACCCCGTTAGACTTATTTGCGGTCAGAAAACAATCACTGCCAGGAGGATCGCGCATGTCAGCATCGCTGCGCTTAATGCGTCTGCGGAGGCTCGGTGGAGACTGGTCGAGGGCCCGAGCCCTAAATGGCTGCATACGGCAACTCCAGTCAGCCAGTCAAAAGCCTGTTTGAGGTGCTTGATTTGCCTTGATTGCAGTATGCTCCCTTGTCGTCGGCAAGAGAAACTGTGTTGACAAAGGCTGAAGACACTTTGATTGCTGACAGTCCATGCAGATTGCAATCTACGAGGTGCGTGATGGTGAGGCAGCGATGCGTCCCACGAGCATTTCCGGTCAGGCAGCATGCCGAAGAGGCTTTGCATCTATATCAGAGCTGCAGGCAGGAGCTATACAGTAAATACTTACCATCTTTTGCTTCACCTAGAGCAGTGCAACTAAATGAATGAGGGGCAGCTGCAGGGAAGACTGGTGCCAAACATCGAAAAACTAACGCAAAACAGTGCTTGGCTCGGATTTGATGTGGCAAGCATGTTCGCTTGTCTATGCTGTGAACTACACGATGCCGCTAACCCCCCGACCCTGCAACTTCCCTTATGCCTCAGAGCTGTGAAGCTGCGCTGCTTCGTCTGAAAGCTGTTGTAAGCGATACTCTAGCCTCACGCAAGCACGCAACCAGTGCAGGCGGGCTGTCCGCGCATGGTGTTGATGCAGTTCAGCTCTGGCGGGGTGTGCTCATGCCAAAAGCCGATGCCGCGACACGTCGATTGAAGAAGTCTAAGGCACCAGCTCCCGGGTTTTTTGCTGCTGTTGCTGCAGCTCCTGGGTTGGAGGCATGTCGGCCAATGCAGGAAGCTTTCTGAATGGAAGGAACTGCCGGCAGGCTTCAGACTGCCATGTTGACTGGGTGCGAGCCGTCGAAGCGAGTTCTTTGAGAAGCTTCCGACGCCTCAGGTCTCCACTGACATCTGTCCATGGGTAGCCTACGTGACTGCCCCGGCATCGTGCATTTTCCTCCCAATTTTCTGGTTTTAAGATGTTTTAAGGTCCTGCTAAGACCCTGGCTCGAGGATGTCTGGCAGGCCTCGGAGAAGCTCAGCGGCACCGGCACCTGTCAGCGACTAGCGTCGCGAGGATTCGGGAGCCCCGCCTCCTTCCCTTCACTTTGTGCCGGCGCAGGCCGCCGTTCCCTTCCGGCACCCTTCCCCATGTCGCCACTCTGCGCAAGACCTGCTTTCCCCCCGCTTCTCCTTCCCCGCCAGTGGGCACCTCCATTGGGCACAGAGGTTTGACACCTGAAAACTCTCAACACGGGGTCAGTGAGACAACGCTCGGGAAACGTTTCGGCCCTCTTCAATTGCAGCGGGGCCTAGGCTGACGCAAAGCGTTTGCAACCAAGTTTCTTGCAACATAATTTGCTTGCCGTTTGAAGGTTGCAAAGAGTAATCCCAAGGGCGTCGTCGGGCATAGAGCGGCAACAGTACATACAGCCACATGACATACTTCCGCAACCAGACTCATTAGACGAACTAGACGCGCCGATATTATAGGTTGACGGGTTGTCAGTGGGAAGAGCCCATGCACAAAAAAAGCGCTGCACACAGTGCAGGGCCGATGATTTTTCACCAGGACTTGGCTTCGGCGCGGTATCCCCACAAAGCTGCATGACAAACCAACACAAAGGACTCCAGCCAGTCCACTTCGGCGAAAGCTTTCACTCGCCGGTGGACTCTTGTTTAGTCTCGAAGCTCCTGTAGTATCCAGTAGTCATACACTACGATATTCGGCAAAACATTTGTGCTGGTGGCCTGGCGGTCCTGCAATGCTGGCACCTTGGCTTGAAGATGTGCGGTCCCATCTCTCGGCTACCTCCTCCAGCGAAGTAGCTCGAAGCAACAACTCTTGCTTTCAAGCAGCGCATGCTGGATCGCTTGGCAAAGGGCATGTCCGTCACGCTTGGTCTGCTCTGGGCTGGTCCCGAATCCTCAGCTGAGCCGCCCTCTATTTGCCATTGCCACTCGTACTTCATTCTTCAAACCTCCTCAACGTGGAAATCCCCTCCCCCTCCTACTGAACACAGGCAACAATCAACGGCGATTCTCTTCCTTCCTTTCTTCCTTCCAATCCGGGGCCGGGTGCAACCCTTACTCCATCTTCTTCGCCACAGCTAAGCAGGCGGGGGGATTCCAATTGAAGGGCCGAATCTCCTACTTTTTGTGGGACGAGTGGGTGCCTCCACTGAGCGCAAGCTGGCAAGACGCCTAGTTCTGGCATGGGCACAGGGGGGCCTTTGTTGCAGCACTTGCAGCTCTGCGACCCTTCCCATTCCACCGAGAGTCCTACCTTCCTTCTCATTGCCAGATCCCAACCCCTAAGGCCTAGAGCTCGACATACAAATGCAAACACTTCATAATGCCAACGTGATACAGTATGAGTCTGAAATGAGCATAATTGGCATCTAGAAGCCACACACGTGCCCTCACGAGTGGACCCAATCTGTGCTGGGCTGGAAATTGTCTAGCTAGACTACAATTGCGACAACTACTGCTACCAGGTTATGCCCACTGCTACCACTACGACTACGATGACGACGACTACTACTTCTGCTTCTGTTCTCCTACTCCAACCCCTACCCCTACCACTGCCGCTTTCACTGCCACTGTTGCTGCTGCTGTTGCTGCTGCGGCTGCTGCTGCTGCTGCTGCTGCTGCTGCTGCTGCTGCCACTGTTGCTGCTGCTGCTCCTGCTGCCTCTGCTACTGCTACTGCTACTGCTACTGCCACCACCACAGCAACAACAACAGGAGCAGCAACAACAACAACACCAACACCAACACCAACACCAGCAGTAGCAGCAGCAGCAGCAGCAGCAGCAGCAGCAGCAGCAGCAGCAGCAGCAGCAACAATAACAACAACAACTGCAACTACTGCAACTACTATAACTACTATGGCTACTACGGCTACTACGACTACTACGACTACCACGATGACTACTACTACCACCACTACCACTACCACTACCACTACCACTACCCTCCACTCCACTCATCTCCACTCCTCCTCCTCCTCGTCCCCCTCCTCCTTGTCTCACTATTTCCCTCACTGCACAGCTGTTGCTTAACAACACATCGAGGCGAACGCAATCCGCTCTGTGCTCCAAGATGCCATCTCGGCAATTGCCTAGTGTACAGGCATGGTTTTCATGATGGGAACAACAACATGCAACCTCAGGCTTGTCGGAGAAGCACCCAGCCTGTTCCAGTTGACGCATCTCGCTCTCCCGGAACTCCAGCAAGCCCACGACATCCACTTCGCTTTCCTCCTCCTGCATGGGCGGATGAAAGAAAAAACCCAAGCATGAGAGGCCGGGATCCAGCACAGCAAAGCAGAAGAAAGCCTTCTCAGCGACCCTGCGCAGCTGCCGAAAGGAATCGTCCTTGGCCTGGGCGGTAACCTTGTCAGAACACAAGCAGTGTACTGAGCTCCCCCTGTGTCAACTTGAAGCTGTCGCAGCTGTCATACGGCTGGTTAAGCCTCGAAAGGTGCCTTTTGCATGTGCGCGGCAACGTATAATACGTGCCCCGGCGAATGATCAGCAGCACCAGCTGGATTCGTGCACGAATACACGCCACGTCAGCTGACATCTATGCTTGGCATCCCCAGGATGATTTCGAGCAGGTACCTCTGCAATGTGGAAGGCTTCCCAGAGCGATTTGGCCTTGCGATGTGGAAAGCAGCATCGAAAGGAAGAGAGTACACGACGAAGAGAGGAGAAAAGGCCCCAGCAAGGCGACTCTCCTCTTTCTCCTCACGAGAGCTTGACACCGAGCAGAGCCCGAGGGCCGAGGGGCCTGTCACGGCAACCGTTACCAAGCTGTCCTCATTCTCTGCTTTGCGCAAGAGGCGATCCACGACGTTCTGGCAAGGAAGTCTTTCCAGTTTAGGCGGAGACAGGGCATGCGAGGCTCCTATTATCTAAGCCCCTGCCTGCTGCATTTGTGACGTCATCATTTCTGCTTTGACCTCGGATGCTTGTGAAGGGGGAACTGTTGGTCTCCTCTAGTGAAGACATGATTTGGCCAGTGGGTGTCGGGCGCGGCCCGATGGACTGGGGACAGGGCCGTGGAGACATCGTCGTTTGCGCTGGATTGCGCTGCCTGTGTAATTAGGGGCAGCGATGCAGCTAGCAGCTTCAGTGGCATGTCGCAACCTGTTCCTCGTGACACCTTTCCCCTAAATTGAGACAGAATGGTACGAGTAGCACAGGGGAGTGTATGTCATGGGAGTGTGTGCGCATTGGTGCCGGCGTGCCTGCTGGATTTCGACTTCGAGGTTGCCGTTCTTGTCCTGCCAAGTCAAAAACCCCTCCGAGCCTGAGGTGCGTGGCCTGCGTGGCTAGCAGTGGCCTAGAGTCGCGGAGTCCCCAACGATCCGCAACGCAACAGACATTCCTAAAGGTCCTAGATACAATACTTCGAAGACGGAACATCCACTGCAGCACCCCTTCTGCGCGTCTCCTGCAAGTCGCGCACGGCATCCACTTCCGTCTTCAGCTGCTTCTGCAATCTCGACTCACGCTGTGGAAGGTCCTGCAAGAGATCGACAGAAACTTTGGCGAAGAAGCGTTGGTTCCGGGAGGTGCCCAACCGTCTCAACAGAAAACATCTCCTGCCAGTTCTCCGTCTCGCGATCGAGGTCCGAACGCAAAGAGTCGCATTCTGCCTGCGGCTCCAACTCCAGACCGTCGACCCGCCAGTCGCCCCTTCCTGTGCCCTGCACTCTGGGGGCCTTGAACTGGCGCAGGTCCTCGCCATGGCTCCGCTGCCATTTCTGGAGCAAGGCATCTGCCTCGGCAGCCTGTTCCTGCTTGGCGGCTTTGTGAGCACTTCAGCCATCTTCAGCCCAGCCCGCTCAAGAACGGTTGTGCCTCCTCCGCTGTGTGGTCCACGATCACAGTGCGAAGTTGTGCTTCCAAGGACTGCAGGAACAAAGCCGCAACAGACCAAAGGATGTTCTGGCATGAGATGCACAATCAGACAGCGGGAGCAAGCTCCTTCTGGCTGCTCTCCATACCACTCAAGGCCATCTCCTCGGAGTTGAGGCGGTCCCTCATCTCCTGTCCAGTACGAACACCATTTCCAAAGAGAAATCTGCGCCCAGGTTCGCGTATGCATCACCGAAGCGCTCCTGCAACTGATCTTGTAAAATGTCGGCTTCAGACTTGTACACCTGAAGATGCGAGTGATCATTCACAGAGGCGCAAGACTTGGACGTTGACCTGCATGAGAAACTTGCCGAGCCATGCGAGACCCATCCCAGCCGATTCCTTGAGCTTCGGCCAAGAGGCTGACTGATCTCTGGGCGTTGGAGGTCCAGAATCAGTCAGGGACGCGTCTGTGCCCTGTCTGGACAGAGAGCCTCTCGATTCCAGACCATCACGTGTTCTCTGCTGTTTAGGATCTCTTCAAACTATAGGGCCAAGCTCCGCCTTTTCATGTGGAAGCTCTAAACCACCGGCCCTCGAGAGCCCCACTTGCCCCACAAGAATCGGTGACACCGCAACCACAACCCTTTTTTCGTGCCGATGCCTGTTAACCTCGGGACCTCGTCTAAGCTGGCGCCGCGGCCTTTCTGATCTGCTTGCTCTGGTGCGTCTGCCACCAAACGCTGGAGTGCGGCGCCCAGTGCCAGCTGCTGGGGCCTTAACAAACACCTGCTCTTGGAGTGCGTGCTTATAAGGCTTACGCTGAGTGCAGCACTCCTCCAAGTTCATGATGGCTTGGATTGCCTCCTCCTCCAAGGCTGCGGCGGGTCGAAGACGTGAGGAGCATGTCTTACCAAAGCCCTGGCTGCTTGGCCTTGCGCGGGCCCTCCACGGCTGCCAGCATGACTGCTTCAGAAAGTGCTCGAAGGAGGCCGGGCTTGCAGAAGGTCTTGGCCGGACCGATGGATGGACCAAATCATATGTTATTTATCGACATTGCAACGGATGGCGGCTTCAACTTTCATTGAGGCAGTTAAGAGAATGTCGACTGGACGACTGGGGCCACATGGAAAACAGTGAGTCCAGATGAATGCAACTTAGTGCGACCAATACTTAGCTTGGCCGTGGTGCCCCGTTGTGCATGTTGCCAGCCAGCCTGTCCGGAAGCCCACGCGAAGTCATCCGAAACGCTCTAATGCACTGACTGATATTCACCGCTTTTCTTGCGGAAGATTCGCAGCAGGCGTGTTTTTTCTATATTCAGCTGTTTCACCTTGTGACGCCTTGCCGAGAAGAAGTGTAGAAGAAAACCGCGGCCCCTCCCTGCCTGGGCAAAGCCACCCGAGAGCCGAAGTAAGCAGTGAGACAGCCATGGAGCAGCTTGGCGCTCCCTGAAGGGGAGCGGAGATTGTCTAGTTGTTCAGGTTGTGTATTCCTACTTGCGAAAGCCCTTCGTGCTTGAGAAAATGGTACTGGTAGCAGCAGCAACACGTCGCGAGCCTAGTCCCTGATTGCTCCGGCTCTGTCTTGGCACAAGCACTTTAGGAGCGATCGGCATGCGGAGCCTGCTGCGCTGTTGGAGGGGTCAACGGCCGGCGCATAGAGCTGCAAAACATCCTGAGCGACGGCTTGCAGCGTCAGAGCGGCTGTCTGTGCTGCAGCTGTCGGTCCCCTCGTTAGTTTGCCTGGCCACCACGAGAACAAAAACAGTCAAGGAACAGCCAGGATGGAACCGTCCGCAAGGTCGTCAAAGTCCTCCGCCTCCGCGTCGGGATAGCCTTGCAGTCGTTGGGTGTCGGGGATGGGCCACATTGTCGGACACAGGGAATACACGTGCGACCACGGTGCAAGCATTGACCCACTCGACCAAAGCAAGCTCTTCTTCAGTGTCAGTCCTCACACAGACCGTCTCACGGAAGAACAAGTGCTTGGCTGATTTCTGAACCCCTCCGTTTTGTTAAACTTTTAGCCTACTTATTATAGTTCATATAGAAATCCAAGAAGTTAAAGTCCAAAGAGCCACCTTGAAGAACGCCAAGAGTGCTTAACAAATTGTTAATGAGGCAACATGCACACGCAAGCCTCTCTCACACTCACTCACGGACACCCTCAAAAGCGTCTTCGGCTCAGACTGGTTTCAGCGAGGGGCATGTAGTGCCATGCCGCGCTTGCAGCTGGCGAGTCACGGACTCAACGACTCAGGTCACTCCATGGCGACTGCTGTGCGAACCAGCGGCAGAAGCGAACAAAGGGGCCAGTATCAGAGTTGAAACGGCGTGGGCTTCCGCTGCGTGAGGACCTTTAACATCTTGAGCGTGTCACGGAGTCTAACGACACGTGAATATGCGAATGGCGCAAACGCCACTCACAATCGCTCACAGAAGCTGCTTGATCTTACCTGCGAGCATGCCAGCACTTCGCTTTGGTGCCAAGTGCTGCCGCCAAGCACATCAGGGCAACAGATGCATCGGCTGTAAAGCTCAAACCTCGCAAAGGTCTTGCTGCAGCTGGACTCGATCGGTTTTTGCTTGTGCATGCAAGTCTCCACGAGCCAGACTGTGGCCGCTTTGGGCTTGCGGACAGCGCGTTCGAGGCCTAGAGCCTGCTTTTCAGCTATGCAAACGGCGATGTGACCGGCGGCTCAGGAGGGGCCAGGAAGGGCAATCCTGGTGAGAGTGCAGACAGCAGGATGTCCCAGGTCGGTATGGAAAACGCATCCTGCACCAGGAGAAAAGCGTACAAACTAGCTACACGGCTTAAAGCCGAAAACTGAATAATGTGGTGGAGGGTTTAATGGGCCCCACCCCTTCGACCATGCGTCCCTGGATGGAAGAAATTGAAAATGAAGGGTGTTTTAGTATCGGTAGTTATCTTGAAGTGGTTTCAAGCTTTTGGTGATGCCCAAACCCTGCTTAACAGTTCTGGGTATCCCTAAACTCTCACTGTACTACTACCTTGCTACTATTGTACCTCTGCACTACTACTGTAAAGTACCAGGCCGCAGACTGGGTCGATTGTGGAGGGGAGGTGTAGGTTGGCATGAATAAATGTTTCCCGTGACTTATTGGGGATATGGCGGATATGGGTGGGCTTGACTGACGTGAAACAGTTTTGGGGGGGTCCGAGGGTTCGGGGGAGCTTGGGTGGAGGGTCTGCCGTGCTCCGAATGCCCGGGAGGCACGGGGGAGGTTTAGGGATACCTAGAACTGTTAAGCAGGGTTTGGGCATCACCAGAAGCTCAAAACCAAGCCCCGCTCACTCCAAGACAACTACCAAGACTCAAGATCCTTCATGTTCAAGGAGACGGCGCCCGTACGGGGCCGTGCGGTGGAGCACAATTTCTGCTGGGGGTTGGGGGGGTGGGGTGGGGGGAGGGGGGGGGGTGATGACGTTCTTGTGCTACTACTACTACTACTACTACTACTACTACTACTACTATAGCCTCTTGCTGCTGCTGCTGCTGCTGCTACACGTGCTCCTGCTGTTACTACTACTACTACTACTACTACTACTACTACTACTACTA